CTTGTTTTTCAAGAAAGTTTCCTTTAGCGACAGATGAGGTCATTTTTGTAAAAATTTATTTTGTGATTACCTTGTTTTATCATTTCATGAGTCATTTTATCATGAAATATTAGAGTTTCGTTTCTTTGTTATTGAAGGTTGTTTTTGTAAGTCATAGATGCCTCCTTTTTATTACTTTAAGAAACTGCGCATGTGGCGTATCCTTAACAATAATGCACATGTGCCTTTATCAAATATGGTTATCGACAGTATGTCTTTTGCAGTCAATGATCTTTCCATTCTTTATTCTAGATTATCTCGTTCTTACTTTTTTTCATCTTCTTTTTGTTATTATAAAAATACTATTTCTTTTCTTTCATTACTTATTCATTATTTTCAAAATGTCTGATAACGATTCCTCTTCCTCTTCGTCTTCTCTTTTTAATATTAACTCTCCTGAGATTCGTGATCCTTTTATGGATTCTCGTCAGCCTATTTCTTCTGAGAGGTAACAAGCTGTTCTGATAGATCGTATCTCTTTTCTTTTGTATATATTCTTATCTATCCGGAGGATGAGTTAATATATACAAATTAAAAGTTTCATAATCTTCTATTATTTCGGCAGTATTTTCACTTGTATTTTTGTTCTTTATGAGACGAATACTTTGTGTATACTCTCGCTCCTTTGTTCTTTATGAGACGGGTGCAGTTATAATAGTTCTCACTTGTTATAACCTTCTTCCTTGTTTAGTGCTCAAGCTATTTCCGATGGTCTTTCTCGTGTGGAACGTGAACTTCGCTCCATTCAATTTACCTTTTCTGCCATTTCTGCCATTAGTGGTGGTCCTTGTCGTATATGCTCTCGTCTTCAGGATATCATAGGGAATATTCGTGATGATATCTTTAAAGTGTTTCCTAATTTTTCTCGGAGTCACTCTACTTCTCGCTTGGTCCGTGACGTTCTCAAGTTTACTCAGAACCTTTACAAGGAACATGAAGTGGCTCTTCAAAGGATTAAAGAGTTAGAAGCTGCTAAAAATGAGCGTGATTTCTTCGATGGTCTTCAAGACTATTTTTAATAAAGTTATAATTATTTATTCATGTCTCTATCCATTGTGTCTTATGCAGTTTTATGACGTGCCTAGGTCGATCATCTCCTCATGTGTTGATCATGTGTTTATTTTCTCGTGACCTGTCTATTTTCGTGTTATTTACGCGTCCTTCCTTTTTTCTGTTTTGTTGTTTCACATGTGTTCTTTTGTTTCTTATAAATTTGTTCTTTCTGTCTCTATTTGATCGTCATATCCTCTTTCTCAAACATGTCTAATGCTTCTACTCCTCGCTATTCTCAAACTTCTCGTGAATCTTCTCCTTTTGTTTCCTCTAGAAGGTAATAAAATTTTCTTATTCAAAATTCTTATCGAGAAGAGTTTTTATATCTTTGTCTTCAATAGTATTCATTGAGTCTATTTTTATGAGAATGGGCTTGTATTGTTGTTCAAAATATAATTTCTCATCATCTTTGTTCTGTCCGAGACGGATGTCTTTTTCTCGTTAGCTGTTTCGTATCTTTGTTCTGTCCGAGACGGATACGATTCTTTTCTTTGAATGAGTTTTCTTTATTACTTTGCAGTT